CTTCTTGTTACTAGTAGTGATGGCCTCCAACCTAATTGATAGCGATGACCTCCACCTAGAAGCTTCTTGTTATTAGTAGCGATGGCCTCCACCTAGAAGCTTCTTGTTATTAGTAGCGATGGCCTCCACCGAGAAGCTTCTTGTTACTAGTAGTGATGGCCTCCAACCTAATTAATAGCGATGGCCTCCACCTAGAAGCTTCTTGTTGCTAGTAGCGATGGCCTCCACTTGTTACTAGTAGTGATGGCCTCCAACCTAATGTCGACTTCAGATTTATAAATATCCCTTGAATAAAGCTAAGCAAATCCCAGAACAGATTAATAAATTCCCCCCAAATAAAGCTAAATGCTTTCACCCCTGGCCCTAGGTATCCCAAATCCAGCCTTTAAAAATGTCCTGTGCATTCCCCTTGATGAACTCTTCTTCAAGTAGCTGACAAGGAAAAAGATCCAAATGAACCTAGGGTGATTTCTTTTAAAATCCCTTATTAAAGAATCTTGAACAAAGCTATGAAAACAGTTCGGCAAGGGTACCCCTCATGAGGGCCCAAGTACAAAATAAAGATTGACCCTAAATACAGCTAAGGACCCCCTGATCCTGGTGAGGATTCTCAATCTAATCCCAATTTCGTTCCCCTTGATGAACTCTTCTTCAAGTAGCTGACAAGGAAAAAGATCCAAATGAACCTAGGGTGATTTCTTTTGAAATCCCTTATTAAAAAATCTTGAACAAAGCTATGAAAACAGTTCAGCAAGGGTACCCCTCATGAGGGCCCAAGTACAAAATAAAGATTGACCCTAAATACAGCTAAGGACCCCTGACCTTTCTTCTATTCCTTTCCTTTATAGATTCTTATACTAAAGGAAAAATCTCTACCAATACTAAACAGTTGAAAACAGTCTTTATATCTATTCGAGGTCTTTCAGGGGGGGGGGGGGGGGGCCCCCCCCTTACAAATCAGAGGTGGACATTATTTAATAGCGATGGCCTCCACCTAGAAGCTTCTTGTTGCTAGTAGCTTCTTATTCCAAAGCCCCAAGGCCTCAGCAAGGTTCGCAGGCCGAAATAGAGAGTGAAGGAGAGTGTGGCACATGGCAGCGCGATCCTCAGCTCCACTGGCCGTTCTGACCTTCAACACCTTTCATTGAGTCAAAAATAGTTATATAGAAGGCTGCAAAACGGTAAACCAACAATAGATAGAGTATGATAGTAGAAAGAGTATATAGAAAGAATGCACCCCCCAAAAAAGAAACGATTTGTATGCTCAAAGGACAATGTCTATAGGACTGATTCTAGGAACATTGTCCTGCCTAGCATCTGAAGAAAGGCCAAGCTAACGACCGTGTTATCCTCCTCCACGTCGGTGACATCCAACAGGCTGTGACAGGCCAAAGCAATTGTTACAAATAGCGAGCACCTGCAGCGATCTATGAATTGTCGTCCTACGTTGCTGCCCGCTCTGTGAACTTCAGGGTAAGGTTCGGACCAAAGGCCGCAAGCAGCTATTCTTTCAGCTTGGCTGGAAGAGTAGGCCTTCCTAGGCGCTGCGCATGCAAACTTTTGGACTAGGTCTGCGCACCCGGCGACAGGCGAAAACAGGAACACGGAACATGTCAAGCATGCGCGCGTTGTTCCTGCACAAGTGCAATTTCGTACACATCTCTAACCCACAAAAGGACACACAGGTAAGTGGGGAAATTAGCGTTTGCAGGAGCACAAAAATACTGCATGTAAGATACTTCTAAAGTTGTGTTAAATTCTCAAGAGCCAAGAGGCTCGTGTGAAGGCTAAATGGAAGGTGTAAGGGGGTTAGCCAAAAATTGCCTATTATATACTACTTAAACGAAATTAGTGCATCAAAAGGGCATAGGTATCAAAAAAACTATTTATCGAATCAACAAAAAATTTACCGAGTCAACAAAATATTTACTGAATCAAAACCATATTCGTTGTGCGATGAAATCCCTTGGAATTCCCAGTCGTGTAGGTGGCCGGTCCTCTGGTCCGCTGGTCCTCTGGTCCGCTGGTCCCCTGCTCTGCTGGTCCCCTGGTCCGCTGGTCCCCTACAGTCCGCTGGTCCACTGGTCCGCTAGTCCCTTGGTCCTCTGGTCCTTCGTGGATTCGATATGAAGGGCCACTTAATTGTGTTTTTTTTGTTTTTCGTGGCTTCTGGCTTCTGTGGCTTCTGGCTTTTGTGGCCTTTGGCTTTCGATCTGTCTATATCTACGTCTATATCTATCTTTCTTTCTTTCTTTCTTGCTTTCTTTTTGGCAGCTGTTCTCCTTTTTCTTTTTGCATTTGCTTTTCCTCTTGTTCGAGCTGCTCACCTTTGGATCTGGTGTGCTGCTGGGGGGGGGGGGGGGCGCCCCCCCCCCCCCCCCCCCCCCGCGCCTGCCACGAAATCAATATTTTAAGGTGAACTCCCCGGTGCAAAATTTTCTAACCAAGCAACTATGCCCCCTCTATCTATCTATCTATCGATCCATTTATCTTTCTATCTGTCTATCTGCAGCTCAACATCCACAAAGTACTGCACCTGCCACGAAATCTGCACTTCAAGGTCCACAAAGTCTTGCGCCTGCGACCAAATCTGCACTCCAAGGCCCACAAAGTCCTGCACCTGCCACCAACTCTACACTTCCACATCAAAAACTCCTGCGCCTGGCACGAAATCTGCACTCCAAGGCCCACAATGTCCTGCACCTGCCACCAACTCTGCACTTCCACATCCACAAAGTCCTGCACCTGCCACGAAATCTGCACTTCAAGGTCCACAAAGTCCTGCGCCTGCCACGAAATCTGCACTCCAAGGGCCACAAAGTACTACACCTGCCACGAAATCTGCACTTCAAGGTCCACAAAAAGTCCTGCGCCTGCCACGAAATCTGCACTCCAAGGCCCATCAAGTCCTGCGCCTGCCACTGGCCACCAACTCTGCACTTCACCACCCACAAAGTCCTGCACCTGCCACGAAATGTGCATGGCAAGGTCCACAAAGTACTGCACCTGCCACGAAACACTATGACTACCACTACGATACTGCTGCTATTATTGTACTGTTGCTACTCTTACTGCTACTGCAATTTGGAATATGTTTTGAGTCAGTATTTATTATTTTTATTGATGCGTGTAGAATATTCTTTATTGATACGTTAAATATTTTTTTTAATCTCTCACCCCTTCCAAAAAAACCTTCCACGAAGATCTGCGAAGGTTTCACGAAGATCTGCGAAGGTTTCTCGGATTTTGTTTCAGTCAGTTTTCCTACTGGCCCACCTTTCCACGAAATGTCCACGAATAGCGCCGGGTTCCACGAATGTCCCACGCTTTCCACGATGTTAGTAGAATGGGTTTTTGCAAAACTCTTTCTGTGCACAACCCTTCCGTTTGCATCTGATCTTGGATTGGGTCACTCATGATGGGTTTCCATCTCGGGGTACTCATGGTGCCGTGGTGTCCCTCTGATTCTAGGGGGCCATGGTCGGAATGGTGCAGCTGGTCAAAGCCGCACCCCTCTGCAGCAAAAAGGAGTGTAGGACCGTCTAGGAGTTGCACAAGGCCAGGTGAGAGGAGTGTCTTCGTAAATAAAGCTTGAAACTATCTGGACTCCAAATCTGGACCGTTCAGAACGGCCACGCTTTCCAGAAGCCGTTCTGGGTTGAACCTGAGGTGGCCTGGCTCGTGAAGATTTGATTCATGGGGGAAACCGAGGCAAAAATCAATGGCTCGCTGCGAATCAGTGGGTCCCACGTTGAATCGACCAAGTACATTCCCTCTGGCGGATTGAAACTGACCAAGCTCCAAAGCAAACCTTCGGCGTGCGCGGGACTCGCATGTGCGAAAATGGATTTGTCCTCCAAGCTGCTCAAGCTCTGGGTCATCAAAACATGGGGAGACCAAGAGTCTCCAACAATAAACACATTTGCTGCATCCTGACAGGGCAAGCCATGACGTCATCTCACGGCAACCCCTGCGGGCTTCTACAAACAATGAGAGCCAGCGGCCAGCGAGAATGCAAGTCAACAAACAATTGCTAAAACTAAAATCAACGACCAAATCGACAAATGATTACAAATGATGAAACGCGCCAAGCACAAAATCACTTTGATACCCTTGCAATTGGAAGGCAACACTAGACTCGACTCACTAGACTCTTGCCCCTTGCTCCACCAGTTTGAGCGGGGAGTGCCCTTCTTTCAACGCGTGCCGAGCTTCTTTCATTGCCCTCAACATCGAAGGAGTCATGCTAGTCATGCAAAGATGCTCTTCTGCGGTCGTTCTTGCATGCAGTCATTACAGTAGACCTCCCGGGCTACTTGCCTTACCTCACTAGCCTTACTAGCTATCCAACTTGAAAAATCACTCGCCACTACCCCACAGACAGCCCGCACCACTATGATCCCAACAATATCACATTCCACAAAGTACGGGTCGCCTGAAAGGATGCTGCCGAAGCCTTGGAGACAGCCTTCTTCTTGACTGGCGCAACAATTCCCAAGTCTCCCAAACCTGTATGGCTAGCAAGGCCATTAGTGGTGCCCCTAGAAGAATAAGGTGTCCAATCCAGTTCTAGCTATATAACATTGCCTGGCAGGCCATGTTGAGAATTTATGACCCTGGAATCTAGGACCCCAGGAAGGAACCTTGCTACCAAGAACGGGCCACGAGGGCTTGCCTGTCACATGCACCTCCAAAACAAACTGAAAGGTTGTTGCATGAAAGCCTAACAGTTCTAGATTAGATCGAGATATCATTGGGAGCAAATTTAAGCTTCTTCAAGCAAGGCTAGCTGGCCTGGAAACGAAACTGATGGCTGTACGAACGCACTGGCATTAGTACAACTGAAACTCATCTGGGTAAAGAAGTTCGCTAGGCAATGCTCTGCCTATCCATGATAGCTATATACTTTGGGACGGCCTTAGCTGCAACTCGAGGGGACATTGCAAACGAGCTGGTCTAGCAATTGGGCTCACTATGGCCAAACTAATAACATATCTCTTAAGATTATAGAAGCAGGTCAAACGTGGCAACTTGACACAAAGGGTCGAGAGGGCAGCCCAAGTTCATAGCTACAACTTACAAGTACAACATGTGTATATATATATATATAAATAAATATGCAAACAGTCGATTCCTGCAGATCATAAGCTGGTGTCACCAACAAAACGCTCCAACACTGAACAGCGGTCTGCTGGCCTGGGCGCACCTCTCTGCCATCATGATCACCTCAGGATGCTAAACGTGAATCGTGTTTCATGATTGAGTCTGTGTCATAGTTCGTGGCCCACGTGACCTTCTTCTATACCAGGCACAAGGCACGAAATTCATGTCTCTGAATGATCTGAATGCAGTCCGGCGGCACTCACCCCATGCACGCATTCCCTATGCGGTAGGGCTGGGGTCCGAAATGTGTTGGTAGCCGGTGGGGTGTCACTTGTCATGCCACTTTCGTCGGACGACTTCGGCCCGATAGGCCCGATCTGCTCAGCACGACATTCACAGATGGATGAAATCACAAGCCTGTTGCCTCAAGGGGACTTCTATGTAACATAGCAATGAATTGAGGTCATCACATGAGACCATCAAGAGTTGCTTCACCATCATGACTCAATTAATACGTTAAGACAGATTCATGGTTGATTCATACATTACCCGGAATCCCGGAAGATTTCTTAATATTATATATATAAATATACATTGAGCCCAAACATCAGCGTGCAATGATCCAGGAGAGGAGGCGGCAGGGCATTCAAACATCTAGGAACAGGAACAATCATTATCTATATATTGTTCATACCTTTGTGTATACAAATGTTCCTCTGTCACTGTTGCCAGCCTACCACACTTCACCTTCCCGTATTGCAAACTAGTATAGACGGCGAGGTTTTCTCATGATTTTGGCAACTTCAAGGCGTCGTAAACCTTTAGCCTGACAGTGTTTCTCACGTACCTGGCAATATTTTAATGTTGAGACCGCAACCTGAAACGCGTGTTTCGCTGCAACGAAGAGCGCATGTCACATCATTTCACAGGACCTCCCCAAACTACTTCATTTTTTAATGCTTATATAGACGGATATGGGAGGCCGATGTGCAAAGCTCAAAGTCTTTATTCATCGCAAGACGTAGCAAGTCAGTTGCGTTGCAAAGCAGTTGCGTAAAGCGGTGAAAACCAACGTGCTTCGTCTTCCCTTCAGCAGTCTCAGCAAAACAATTGCACGCAACACAAAAGAAATCCTTGGAATATACAGTTTCATTGTCAACACCGACATGAGATGGATTATTATTCTCAAGGTCTTGCAACAACCAACTGTTGCACTAGCGTGGGCGAACTGTTGTTGTATACGTCAACCGTTTACAATGATGATGTTGCAAATTGCGCCCCCCCGCCCGAAGAAACTCTGCAGCTAACCATGAGTTGACGCCGCCACTGAAAAGTGAAGAGAAAAAAACCGTGCAAAAAATCCAGTGAATATCAGGCAAATGGTAATATCGCTCAAACGGTCTCCCCAGTGGCGAAGGAAACAGCAAAAAGCACTGCAGAAAAACAAACCAAAAGTGCCACCGTCGCCTGGGCACCGTGGTCCAACCAGTGAGTGGCTGAGATCGACGACATGGGCTGCCTTTCGACGACATGGGTCTCCTTTGTAGGCGTTTTGATGATTCCTTACCAAAAAACATCCAACAACTCGGTTTGCTCCTAGTAGCGGTACCAGGAGCCCCGTCGTAGCGTCCTTGCTCCTAGTAGTAAGGCCAGGAGCCCCTAGTAGCTTCTTGTTCCTAGTAGGATTCGGTACAAAAGCTCAATATTTCCCCACTTATAGATTTAGATGTCCTTGGTGCCAGCTGCACCTTCACAAGCAAACTTTTCTGGTGCCAAGTCTGCTCAGCCCGCTTGGTGGCTTGCTCCGCAGCTCCCGCTCACTGGCAGATCTGCAGGAAGAGGCTGGAACCGAAGGCTTTTCCACCCGTGGATTGCCCAGCACGTCGCCAGGTGATTTCAAAGACTTGGTGGAAGACTGCAAGAGCGGCTGTAAGACTTTTGCCCCGTGCGCAGCGCCCAAGTTTCCTGAGAACTGGAGCGCAGGAAAAATGCTGAAGCACAAGCACAACACCGCAGCAACAGCAGCAACATCTGCATATTTAAAAACATTTCTCTCGCCTTCAATAAAGAGAACTGGCCCAGCAACTCAATTTGAGATTGAACACACGAGCTTGAAACTTATCAAACCAGTTGCTGCCAGGAGTAGCTACCCCCTAAAAGGATTACTTTGTGCGTCAAGGCAAAACTTTAACCTTATGCTGCGACTAGGTCAGGTTAAACAGTGTTAAACACCATGAGCAACTCACTAAAGCTGAATCCATAGCCAGATCGTGCCAAGCTCGTGTTGCATTGTTGCTGAACGTACCCACACCAACCCCGGTGCTCAATCGGTGCTAAACATTTAGCATCCATCTCTTCCTTGGGGTTGCAAAAGTTTCAAGATCAAAACTAGCACACAGGGTTGTGATTTCTAGTTGCAAGAAACAGTATTGAAGTGCCAAGGCAACCGACAATTCCTTAACAAGCTCTCCCACACCGCATGAAGAACCAAGCTTCCTTGTGAGACCTGCAGTGAACCCCTCGGCGAGTCTGTGGTTTGCGGTCGGATTGTCAAGGAGATTGCTTCATTGTTCAAGCCCAGCACTCTGGATGTATCACCTGAGGCACGGAAATATAGCAAACAAGGTTCAACTGGTGGTATCAACAGTTTTTATCAACAACCTGCTGCAGTTGGTTAAGGAGTTGTTACTGAAGGTTCAACATGGCTTGCTCAGTGACTCAGCGAGCGATATTAACTGCAGTGTGCGCAAAAACCAATGTTGGTTTGGGTTTATATATATATATATGTCATTTGTCCAAAGCCTCCGAACAACGCACACACATAGTCATAGAGCGTGACAATTGTGCAAAGGCTTTTTCTGCGCTCACGTCCGTTTTCAGATTCTCTGTCGGACGCACCCACGAAGGCCCCAAAGTACCGAGCCGGAAGAAACAGCACAACATTCCGGCATATTGGAGTGAAACGAAAAAATACAATGATGTTTTAATAACATTATACAACATCAGTGAGCAAACAAAGCTCAATCAAGAACCATGTAAAATAGAAAGCTAAGGAAAACTCGTACAACAAAGAGCCACTGTTATTAAACTTCTTCTGGCTTCTTCTATCTGTGGTTTCCTTTGCCTATTTTGCCCCTTGTTGCCGAGTCACGTGGTGCACTGCCCAAACTCTGAGATCTCACCGCCACCTCCCGTTCACGTCCGGACTCGTAGAGCGTGACACAGCGACGGCCTCCCTGGAGCCGATGTGCGCCTGGAGCGGTGGTCCGCTTGTCTCCAACCTAATCAACCTACTAGCTTCTTGTTGCTAGTAGCCATGCCAGGAGCCCCTAGTAGCTTCTTGTCACTACAAGCTTGCACGGAACAAGTTGGCTGAAAGAATCTGATTGAAAAAGCTCAAGAAAAGTTACTCAAAAACTCAAAGCCGAAAAAGACCGGTAACCTCACGTTCTCCCGCCTCTGAACGCCAAGCGGACGGATGAGCCAGGCGAATCCGGTGCACCAGGCTGAAGGACATCCTCAGCAAAGTCCATTTCAACGAATCAAACATCGCTTTTTAAGAAACAACCGGTCTATATAGTCATGTCATGTCTAGTCTGATTTGTGTTTGGGAGGTACGATTGCAAAAAAAAAGTCGATTTAGAATTATTCAAACAACAAACAACAGCGGATCCTTTAGACAATTGATTGGAACTTGCCAAAGTGCGCCGTCCGTGGAAGGATAAGCCGCAGTGGCTAAGACCTTGGATCAGGACTTGGTTTGAATCATGCTATTCCCGTCCGGACGGTTCTGCTTATGAATCTTGTGGCAGGAGAACCTTGTGACACTGTGATAGGCGTCTCAAGAGTCAAGAATTGTTATGACCAATCGCCACCTCTTCTCTAAGTTTCTGATTGGTGTCAGTACTGTCAGGCCTCTCTGAAAGGCCTTTCAGAATGCCTGAGGCTCAAGCTGCCTGCTTTGCTTCTCTTGACTTCACTTCCCGCGGCGGCGCGTGAAAGTCCATCACCTGTGCCTGATCCGGCCTGACGAACGGAGCCTTTCGCCTATAAGCCTATAAGGATGACTCCAATGATGTGACAACATGCAGCATATTACAGGCTTATTGATGCAGGAACGTCAAACACGCCTTGTGTGCAAAGCGCCTGACATAGCGGCCAGTGTCGTCCTTCGAAGTGCCAAACACCATCGAAAAAAGCCATGCGTCCACGCATCTTGTATTGCTATGAGGCTATGACTGTCACAGTCCTTCTTAGATGTTCCCAGTTCCCGCTTTGCTGTTTCTCTCCCCCTCTCTCGATCTCTCTCTCGCCCTGTTCTGTTCACAGTGGCCTTGCATTTTTGTTGGCTGTTGAGTTGGCCAGGCGCCGAGGTCCTGCGCACCCAACTGCCAGTGCTGTCGGCAGTGAGGCCTTGCACTGTCGGTGTCGGTGCACAGTCTCATGCCACATGCCAATTGCTTCCGAGAAAGGGACCCCTATCACCTGAGATCACCTGAGTATATACTTGTCTCACTATCCCATAGCATATATAGCATGTCCATGTGCCAGTAAGTTTGACACAGTCGACTTCTCGGAACCAATCTTCATAGAACATCATTGAGCGACAAACCTGGCTTTCTGAGGCCGTACCGGCTGGAACGGGCAAGTCCGGCCTTCACTTCGAGATGACCTGAAAGTTGTCCTAGCAATGGCAAGTCTATAGACACTATACCTGATCAACTCGCCCCCATGCTTGACCCGAAACAAAGAACAAGGGGTGGATTTTACACTCTCAACTGAAGAACCGCTTCACAATGTCACATTTGCCCTTGAGTTTCCCGAATCTGGGCCAAATTTTGGATTGATCCTAACATAATCCTGACTGTGCATGTGTGGAGACCAACTGGCGGTCGAGGACAGATGTGCCAACATGAGCAAACAACTGGTTGAAATCATACGCTGTTTGATTTGTCTCGCTTCATGCTTGCACTCGCTTGAGCGTTGCACTCCTCTGCAGCACAGGTTCCAACTCCAGGGAACAACTCTCGTCTCCAGCGCTGAATCTGTGAAGGGTCCTTGTGCAACTTGATCGGAAATACGAGTCCACGTCCTGCGAACCATCAACTAACTAATCAGGAGGGCGGGCCCAAGTCCAAGCAAATTGTGCACCCAACACGGCGCCCTGCTCCTCGGAGATAGAACGTGGTCGGACACCATCTCCTGCAAACTGAAGCGGTCAAGCATGGTCAAGCAACTCAACATACTTCGACCCCTCTGCTTCGAGCCAACGAGTGGGGCCGACAATCAGCTACACTGCGCTCGGGACAAAGAAATCAAAAGCAGCCTGCCACCTGCCAGCCAGTGGAGGATACTCTCGCAGTACCTGCAGCTCCGATGGTACACATCAGTCTCCCCACCGTTCTGTCGGAATC